CTTTTACTCTCCCCCCGGCCTTTACCAACCTAACATGTTCCCATTAGGTGTTCCCCCACCCCTCTTGACTCCTGGATTCCCTCAGGCTTCACAACAACTGCCGTTTCAACCTTCCGCATTTATGCGACCGCCACCGGCCGATTTTTACGCCCTGCCTCCGACGCCTGGCATGTTAACGGTGCCTGGACTTGTCCCTCAGCCAGGCTCGAATCCCTTGGCTGTGCCTCCGGGTCTGAATCCGGTTCCGCAATTACTCCCTACGAGGACTCTTAGCCAGGGCGTAGTAACTCCAGTTGGGGGATTGCTTTCCATGGCCACATCAAAAGCGGACGAAATTTGGGTTGAAAGTGCGGCTTCCGGTGGCCGTGTGTACTATTACAATATGCAAACTCGCGAGACAAGATGGGATCGACCGGAGGGCGTGACTGTACTTCGACAAGGAAAAGCGGATGACGAACAGGCTGCAGACAAAAAGGGAAAGCCCACTTCTACCGAGAGTTCTCTTTTGGGTGCGTCTGTACAAAAGCCGCCTGAAGTGGCTGCATGGAAGGAATACCAGAGTGCTGACGGTAAACCCTATTACCACAACGCTCAGACAGGCGAGACAACATGGGAAAAACCGAAAGTCATTGCTGATTGGGAAGCCAAGAACCTTTAAACCATTGCGGGAGGTTGTTTCTTCTAAAATAAATTTTGCATTTTCGTTCCAGTCCGATTTTTTATGCGATATTTCAATGAATATCGAGACAATCCCTTTAAAACATGGTCTAAACGTTCGTGTTTTTAGAGCAATGGGCGATGGAAAACGATTAGTTTATGGTAGGCTACTTGCTTTTTAGCGCCATTATGTCACTTCAGTAGAGATAAGTGGTTGTGTTCAGCCGTTTCTATATGGCAACTGTATGTTTTAAGTTGTCGCTGACAATTAAGAGCCTTGAATCACTCTTTCCACTTGTGGTTGCCGTCTTCGCCAAAGTTATCGATGGTCTTCGTGTATGCCTCACCATCGACATGACATTTATAGTCAAGTTTTCCATTTTATAAGCAGGTTTTCCCAACGGGATTTGTGAAAATGTATCATCCAGTATAGTTGCCTTGTTATGGTTGAAATCCTTATCATAAATTAGTCGTATTTCCCATCCCTGCTTTCCATGCATGCAAAATTGCGTCGAACCGTTCTAGGCATGTTCACGTTTGCAGAGAGAGTACCCAAACTGGCGATACCATACTCTTTTCTATTCACAGTGACAGATTTTCCACCCTTGTTCTGGAACAGTCCACTATTACTCCTCTTGGCGTACTCGCTTCTGGGCAAAACGTGCAAACTTATTCACTTTAAATTGTGCCCTTAGCTTTTATCTGAACTTAGACGGTTCCTTCTGCAATTTGTCATACGATAATGAGGCCGGAGGAAAGCTTCAAAGAAGCAGGGTGACCTATTCAACTGGGTAACAGGTCGCAGACGTTTGCATGCTTATTTCCCCCCTTTGATTGGATAGAATGCTTGCTTGCTGTGTATATGCCTACCGTGTGCATTTCACGAAACCGCATACTCTTTAAAAAAAGTGACGTCACATATCCTACCAGGTGTAAATTCCTTTTTGCTGGGAGCCACAACCTTGTGGGCTGGTTGAAAAATTTGTTTTTCTATCATGCTTCCACGCAATTTGCCATTTACTGTTCGCACTTAGCACTATAGAGGCCCTAAGTGACTTCTGTTTACCATATTAAGAAGTTTCCTGGTGCCGATAGGTCTTACATGTATGACAGAAGTCATGCGTGGCTGGTTGCTAAAATACTGTTGGACTAGTATTATCATTATATGCTCAACCTGCGTCATGTAAACATTGATAGTTTAAGTACGTACATCCTGGACAATAGATATATTCAATGTCAAAGTCTCGCTGTGGACCGTATTTACAAGCTGTCTCGACTGTGAAGTTCCGTTTCTTCAAACCAGAAGGTGAGTTGAGGTGCCCACGTGATGACGTAGCTATCTTCAGTGAGGGTCGTCACTTAAAAGCTCATAATATCGTGGTTTTGGTAATCCTACGTACCTTTGGCCGCGCGCAGTCTCCTACATTAACGTCTGTTCGAGATTTTCTAATATTCTGTATTTACTTCCCTGTATAACAGGTGGTGTGGGCCCCAGCCGACGTCCTTACCGCATATTCGTAGTTGGAGATAATGACGTTTCGGCAACTGCTTTTGCGATGATGTCATTAGACTATGCCAACTGTTTATAGCCAAAATTGTTGTTGTAACCATTGGCTGAAGTCCTACAGTACATCTTGCCATACGCTGACATCACGTAATATACAGCTACAGAGTGTACTTCCTGGTTTTATGCGTTATTTGCATTTTTCGTTCTGTTCCATACATAAAACATATGCGTAAATCTGTCCTGTCTAAAATGAAAATGTTCTCAGCTGTCACTCAACCTCTCGTTGGGCGAGGCCGACTGCCGGTCTAGGTTGGGCTGCTCTACATGCCAGCTCCGGACCCGTAGGATGGGACATGCCCCCGAGGTAAGCTTTCCCACCGCCAGTCAGTCCAGTTAGCCACAACAAAACCTCAACAGCCACGTAGTTGGCTTAAGGTAGACGATATCCTGGACCCACGTTCTCAAAGGTGAAAGCTTCTGGGTAAAAAGCTAAGAAAGCAAAGCATACAGGAACAGGGTTTTGGTATCTCTGACACTTCGGACAGTGCGGTCCGTTCTCCATTTTCGAAACGTTTAATGCAAAAATCTACCATAATTTTGACTGACTGGCCGGGCTAGTAGGCTTCTTTTTTTCTTTTGCTGCCTCGACATGTTGGAAAATGTTTGGGGGGCGCGACGGCCTCTGGCGCTACCTGTCGTCACATCGATGGAG